AGCAGTGCAGTCCGGCAATCAGGGACTAAAACTTTGGCCCCAAATAAACCCTTCCCTTATTAAGTTATTGTTAGTATTTTTGTCATAGTAACAGAAAGCTGACCAATGCAATTGCCTGTTAGTAAGGGGCATAGTAGCCCCAGAGGCTCACGCTCTCAAGCACTCCCCTGCATCTTTAACTTAACATCGTTAGCCCCAGTAGCTGAGCTGAAGCAGGGAGCAGATAATCCAAAAGAGAAGAAAATCCAAAACACTCATGCATGGGAGGTCCTCGGAGGTTGTGTTTGCAGCCATTTTTCTTCCTCATGGTAATCTGCTGAAGCTACTGTCGAGCAGAACTGTATTTTCTCAGCCCACCAGTCACCACTCTGTGGTTCAGCAGCAACAGAACAGGTCCTGGCTGGGGAAGTGGCTGCTCATCAGCCTGGTGACCATGCATGTGGCCGCCTTTGGCGTAGCCAGCACAGGGGCCATCCTCTGAGCTCCTCCCCAGAGGCCAGGCCTTGAAAAGGGAAAGCCCACACAGTCTGAAGGATTCGGGGATGGCAAGGAAAAGGCTTTCCGCTGTGCCGAGCCCCTGCCTCTGAATGCCCTGTCCTGGCAAGGAAAAGGCTTCCCGCTGTGCCGAGCCCCTGCCTCTGAATGCCCTGTCCTGGCAAGGAAAAGGCTTCCCGCTGTGCCGAGCCCCTGCCTCTGAATGCCCTGTCCTGTCTGGCTCTGAGGAGTTGGACACTAAGGTTTGGTTTGCCACTTTAAGGAGAGCCAGGAAATCCCTCTTCCCAGCCCTGACTCCTCCACCATTTGGAACCTAGTCACCAGAAAAAGAAGGGATGACAGATAAGACATGGCCCCGAGTCAAACTGATTTTGTAAAAATAGGTGTCTGAGTTCTGCCCACCCTTCCTTCACTGTTATACCCACAAACTATAATTGCCAGTGGTTTCCAGCCAGTGAAGAGGTGGGCTAGAACAGTTGTGACTGTGTGTGTGTGTGTGTGTGTGTGTGTGTGTGTGTGTGAGAGAGAGAGACAGAGAGAGAAAGAGAGAGAGAGAAAGAGAGAGAGAGACAGAGAGAGAGAAAGAGAGAGAGAGAGCGCGCCAAGCTCTTACCCTCCAGAAGGTAAGGCCCTACCCACACTGCAGTTTGGCCGGTGTCGCTCTGGGACACCCCGTGCCCCAGAACGATGGATGTGGGCTTGGTGTCTGGGTTTGGGTGCGGAGCTGGCAGGGGGCCCAGCTGTTGAAATGGCGGGAGGCGGAGGCTGACAAAGGGAACAGAGACCTGAGAACTGGGCCCCAAAGCGTCTTCAAGGTCCAGCTTGGACTGATGGGCTGTGGGACAGCAGGCTATTGCGGTGAACGGGTGGGTGGGTGGGTGGGTGTGCAGGTGGAGGAAGCCGCCTCCTGAAGGGACCCCGTCCACCCTCCCAGTGCTGCTTCCCCTTCCAGTCCAGCTGTGTGTGAGGCTCCTCAGGGCGAGGCCCAAAGAAGCCTGGCGACAATGGATGTGGTGGTTTCTACAGGTAGTAGAGGGTCCCCAGGCGTCTTGTCACCAAATGAATGCACTAAGCTGCTGCAGCACGGCCATGACACATTAATCCCAACAGAAGCCACCAAGGCAGTAGACGCCTGTGTGGAGCCAGGTTAGGAGGCAGCTGTGGCCCATGAGGGAAGCACTGTCTCTTGCTTATTTCCAGTGTGCGCACAGAGAAATCCAAAAGAGCCGGGCCTGGTGGCCCATGCCTGTAAGCTCATGATTCTGGGATGCCAAGGCAGGAAAATGACAGTCCAAGACCACTCTGGGTGACTGAGAGTCTTAGACCTTGTCTGGAAAATTAAAAAGGGCTGGAAATGTAGCTCAGTGTGCCAACTCTGGGTTCTACCTGCAGTACCGCACCAAAAAGAAAAAAGAAAGAACAAAAAAGAAATTGAAGAGGAGGGACGATCAGGTGCCCAGCCTGGAGGTGGACAGGGTTGCTTCCCGGGTGTGCGCCAGCATTCTTACACATGTGTCTCTCTGGTGCCAACGTGTCGCCTTCGCTCTGCGCTCTGCCTTTCCTCTTTGCCCTCTCTCTGCTCTCAGAGCTGTTCCAGACCATGACCCCTCACCCATTTTGTTTCAGGTCTCTGCAGAATGGAAGATTCCCACTCACCCTCCTCTGTGGACCGCCCTTCTCTCTCCTGACCTGCACTCCAATAACATTCGGTTCCTGTATCTTCTAGGTCGGCGCTGAATGTCCCTGGACTCCGCTCTTTCCCTTCTCCTTCCCAGCCTCCCCCTTCCCTTCTGAACTAGCTCTATCCACCAAGGTGGTGTTCATAGCCACAGACAGTCCCGGCGTCTTCCAAAGTCTAATCGTAAAACACACGCGAGCATGATTCCTTTCAACCCTTCACTCTCGACCTCCTTGCCCTCCAAATCAGTGTTCTTTTGCCCTGTGAATGACAGCTGAGAACCCAGGAGGGAGCTGCCTGTTTCCCACTCAGAGCGTACGATTTCACGGGGAGAGAGAGGTCTCTGTGCCACAAAGGCTCTGGTGAATTTAAAAAAAATACTCTGAGGAGCCAAAAAATGGGCCATGACTTCAAGCTGCCCCTCACCTAACCCACACCCTGGCAAACCCCTGCTCTCCAGTCTGCCTGTCCAAAGTCTCCAAGGTGGCATTTGTTTGTTTTTGGCAAAAATGCCTGGGAACCAAGAGGCCCCTTTCCCGGGCGGCCTGACCTCCCATGCTAAGAATAACAGCCTCAGGGCAGCTTGTCATGCCGTCCCTCTGCAGAGAGGACATGGCTGGGCAGGAGGGAGGTTAAGGGGGCTGGACAGAGCCGGGAACAAACAGAAGAGAACACATGCTTGCCTGTTGGGGGTAAAAACGTAAAGAAAGTTGGCAGCCTTTGAGGCTGCTAAGGAAAGGCTGGGAACTTTTTGGAAGAAACTTTCTGCTTCACGATTGGCTCACCAACATTTAGATTTCCATCCCCATGAGCTTGGGGGACAGGGAAATGCAGGCTCTGCTGAGAATATGTAGCCAACCCTATCTCGTCCCCATTGCAGAGCATTGCCCAAAACACAGGGACAAATGTACTTTCATAAAACTCCGTAGTACCAGGACCTTTCTGTTCTACTCAGGGAGAGCAGGCCTGCTTCGTTCCTGAACTGTAGTCCAGAGAGGCAAATGGGCCAGACCCAAGAACCCTGTGCGCTGTTCCTGTGCCCGTGCAGGCATCTGCAGTCTGTTCCTTGGTGGCCAGTGTCCAAGAATATTTTTTAAAAAAAGTCTTTCATGCATATTCATGCTTTCCTTCTCCAAGAATGGAGTATAAACCTGTGTCACCTGGAGACATTGGTAAAGGCGGGACACTGGTCTTCTCTTCCATGCTAGGGTCTCCCCTCCATGACTCTAAGGCCTTCATTTGCTTCTGAAGAGCCAGGAACCCTATTCTCTTTCCCAGCCCAGCCCTATCAAACCTGTGACCAGGAAAGTTTTTAATAATGTTACCCACTTGTGGGTGGCATTTGCTTTTCAGTGGGACCCTCATCAAAGGATGATGTGGGGCAAAGACCCCCGGGAGGTTCTTAGAAGACACTGCCAACAGCACCACCTCGAGCCACGCAGGCCACTGCCAGACTGAGGATGACCTGGATTCTGTCCTTTCATTAGGAAAGCCCTGCCAGGGCAGAACCGGCCTGGAGAGGCTGGGGCAGGTCTAGCATAGGAACGAGGGCTGGCCTGCTTCCGTCTGCATGCAGCCCCGCCCACTATAGATGCTGTCCTCATCAGCAGGCCTTTGGCTAACTCTGAGCTCAGCTCACCTGGCCTTCCTTCTGGCTCACACCAATGGCTGCAGTTTGCAGGGCCTTTCTCAGTCCCCACCTCACCCATAGGACCACAGCCTGGCACCTGGTGTGAATGTTTCCATTCACACTGGGGGTGTATGGCATGCTCCCGGGGTGGGAATTAAAGGGACCCTAGCCATGTCCCTGCAGCACTGTGGCTGGCAGGACCTGCCACCCCCACCCACTCCCACCCCTTCTGGAAGCTGAAGGACCTCTGGAAGGAAGGTGGAGAGCTGGGATGGAGACCATGCGACAAAGGGAAAGTGGGGGCAGCGAAGCCGGGCTGGCGTTCCTGCTGGTCCCTTCCCTCCTGGGCTCCCAGGCTCCTGACCAGAGCGAGGGCACGTGGAACTCCCAGCGGCACGACACACCGGTGCCTGGACAATGATTCTGAGGGTGACGTTGCTCTGTTCTTGTCTGTCTAATAATCCTTTTCAATCCCCGTCCTGCCTGCCCCTCCCTTATGTAGGGTTACTTTAGTGATCCCTGGAATGTTTTTGACTTCCTCATCGTGATTGGGAGCATTATTGATGTCATTCTCAGTGAGACTAATGTGAGTATTACTCTGCCCTCCCCAGGAAACCTCCTCCTGCCACCTCTTCTGCTTCCTCTCTTCCTTTCTCTTTCTCGCTCTTTCTTTACCTCTTTTATGTTTTTGGTTTGGTTTTTTTTTTTTTTTTTAATTTCTTGTTTTACCCGCCTCCGGTCATGCTTTTTAATGAACCTGCCGTCGTCCTGTGGGGAAAAAAAGTGGGAGTTTGTCCTCCTTTTTTTCCACGCATCCCAGCTCTGCCCAGCTGCGCTGGGCCCGAGCACGGAGCCAGTGGAGGGAGGAGGTGCAGCAGGAGGCGCCACCCAGCCCCCTCCCAGGTGGCTCCCACCGCGTCACCTCGGACTAACTCAGCTTTTGTCAGGCCTCTCCACCTTGCGAAAACCAGGTTGCCCAGGTTTGAGCCGCCAGAACTGTAGAGTGGTAAGAGAGTATTTAATATGCCCACGTAACCTCTTTCTTTTCTCATTTTTTTCTCTTCTCTCCTTTCTTTCATGCCTTTTTTTTTTTTTTTTTCATTTTCCCTCTTCCCTTTTGTTTTGTTTTTCTCCTGTTATTGGTTTTTTTTCTCCCTTTCTTCTCTCTCTCTTTCTCGGCTTTTCTGCCCCATGCAGCACTATTTCTGTGATGCATGGAATACATTTGACGCCTTGATTGTTGTGGGTAGCATTGTTGATATAGCAATCACCGAGGTAAACGTAAGTACATGGCGTCTGTGACCTAACTGTCCGTGCCTGCTCTAACAGCCATGTGTCCCTCCCTCCCCTGTTTATTTTTGTCCTTCATTTTTATTTTCTCCTGCCCACCTCCTGATTTTTAATTTCATTTCTTATTTGTTTGTTAAAATTGGTTCAAAGGATTTTTCTGTTGTTGTTGCTTTAAATTTTTGTTTTTTGTTTTTTTGGGGTTTTTTTTTTTTTTTTTTTTTGGTTTGTTTGTTTCCACTTTTGGAACGCATTAGGGCTTCCCTTTCCTTTTAAGTGTTGATTGCTGCATCTCTTTCTCTGTCCCTTACAATCAGCCTGGCATGACTCACACTGTATAGGAGGATGCAGCTCTGAGAATTACGGAATGAGGAAATGAAGGATTTTTTACAGCACTGTGCAGCTGCAGGGGCTGGGCTCAAACGTCTTCTGAGCCCCACTTTCACCTTCTGACCCGACCACCTCTCCACCTTGCCTGTCCATGTCTGAAACGTCTTGGAAAAGCACTCTCTCCACATAGACCGCCCCTACCACTGGCTGCATTGGTGGCTGTAGCCGGCTCTCCCAAGGGCCACCTGACTGTCTTGCATGTTGGATGGACAGTTCCAGCTTAACATGAGCAGCCTGTGCGGGCAGCCTACCCTCTCTAGGCCATTTGGGAGAGGAGAGCCAATCATGTTAAATGCTTGGTTGCACTCTTTTCTCCAGGAAAACTAAAGAGCCAGGTGGTTGGGTAATCTACTGAGAACTCCTGGGCTCTCTCTCCCAGTTGAGTTGCCTTGGAAGCAGGCTCCATGTAAATACCTCACTTCCACTTCCACGAGAACCCACCACAGAGAACGGACTGGTGCACCTGCCTGGTCCCCACTACTGAACACCGTCTTCCCCCTTCTCTGGCCTCAGAAAGAACCCAGCCCCTGCATGCAGACCTTCTGCAGCCTTCACCTTCCAAGAGCTGCCTCCTCCTATACAGTTCCTACCAGTTCCTGCACACGGCTTCTGTTACCTGGCATGTTTATATCTTCTCTCTTTATCTATAGGCAAGCCTTCTTGCAGCTAGTCTTTAACGTGTTGTTTAATTTTTGTCATTATTTTTCCTTAATTAAGAACCTGATAATGTTTGCATAAACTTTCGATGCACTGAACCATTGAATAACAGCACGGAACAGACGCTTTAGAATTTTGATCTAAGCATCCCCATCTCCCCCATGCACCCTTACCCTGCCCTGGTCACTCCCCTTCCTTGAGAAGGCCCTGTGTGCTCCCCTCCTCTGGCCGGTGGATTTTGGAAGAGAGCTGCTGTACTTTCCACATTCCCATCTGTTCTCCTCCCCTCCCTGCTCACCCTATAGGCTCAGATTCTGTTGCCAAGAACTTCGAGTTGTCTCTGTCTCGAGTGTGTGTCTGTGTTTGTGTTTGTATGTGTGTGTGCACAATGCCTTGACTTTTTCCATAAATACTCAGATCATTGAAAAGAATTAGATCTCCTACAAATGCTCTGACCTCCACCCTTCTTGAATGGATTCCTAGTATGGAAGGCTGGACGAGCCCTGTGCTGTGTCCTTGGTGCCCTTCTAGCCCATGAGCCTAGAGACCAGAGGTCCGAGCTTACAACTCACACCCTCCAGCGGTCTATGCTGCAGGCACCCTAGGGACAGCACAGGTGGGCTGCACCTTCTGCAGACAGCAGCATGGATCAGCCCAGAGGCTGTATAGAGGGACTTCAAGCCCACAGCAGGGAACACAGGAAACCCTCAAGCTGCTGCCCAGGGTTAGCAGAGAGGACTCATTGTGGTCCTGGGGCTCCTCTGTGCTCTTTCACTCTTGGTAAAGCCCACAGCACTCACCCGCCATGCTATCTCAGATTGTTTCCCTTTTCAAAGAAAACCCACACAAGCACATACATTGTAAGTAAGATATATGATGAATATTTAAATTTTGAAAATTTATTACAGTAAGAGATACATTGCATTAATCCCCCACAAAAAGTTTTCTTCAAAAAGAAGACTTTAAACACACTTACCACATTGCTCTTGCCACTTTCTGAAGAAGCTGGAAGCCTGCTTTCACGAGTGTCTTTTAGGCGAAGGCTCCTGCCCAGTGCTATCCAATGGAAAGGTAGGCTCAGAAAAGCTTTCTTACGGCCCTCATCCTCCATATTCAGGGTGGCTAGCACAGTAGACTTCCAGCTCTTCCCCAGAGTCAGAATAGCCACAAAACGTAAACGTTTTTGAATCAGTTTGGGACATGGTGGCAGCCGTGACAGACACTTAAAGCCCTCATGAAAGAGGACTCAGAACTGCTGCAGAAAGTGGTGAGGATGAGGAGTCAGCGTGTCTAAGCAAGGGCGGGGGAATTGACGACAGTGTGTCTCTAAGTTTAGACACCCACCATCTTTTCCAGCCATAGCCTGTAGGTAGGCACACAGGCACACCTGCACACACACACATTTCCATATATCCTAGAATATAAAACTTCTACAGGAAAAGTGGCTGTGTTGGAAGTAGGGTGGGAGGGCGCAGAAGAAGAAAAGAGTCTGGGACCATCCAGCAGAGCCTCACCTTTGTACCATGCTTTTCTGTTTATGATTCACTTTTGCATAGACCTCATTTAACGCTTAACTACCCATGGATTTGACAGATAAAATGATCTCATGCTAAGTTGCTAATGCTGAAGGGAATGGTGGAGAGACTAAGTACCCTCTGGCCCCTGGGGGCGGTGGGCTCACCCTGACACCTAGCTCAGAGATCCTACTCAGAGATCCTTCGATACACATACAGATCTCACATTTCACCCCCAGGCTGCTCCCACCAGCCAGTCCTCACTCCCAACTTTCCTCTATTCCTATTTTACATCACTGCCAAAGTAGGGTATGTTTTTCAGAGTAACAAACAACCATTGTCAGCCCATGCTTTGCATCCTCCCCCACACTCCCTCCATCCTGAGGGGATACTTCTCTCCCACATGGTAAGGACCTGGGGTGTCAAAGCCTCGGGGAGAAGATGGCAACAGTGTCTGTGACTGGGAGCCACCAGGGTGTCCGGAGGCCCAACATTTATTCCTGGACCATGTTTTTCCTCCACATCACCAGTGGCTCCTGAATAACACAATGCCACCCAAAAATAAGAACTGGGCTTGAAATTAGAAAACTGGAAAGCTGTTGAGTCTTCTTTTGTTACTGAAATGCTCTAAGACTTAACTCCCATTTCTGTCAAAGGAAAATGACACTCAGCAGTGGTTTTTGAAGCTTTCATAGAGCATCTAGGCTGAAGGTAGTGACACGCACGGTAAACCTAGCTACTTTGGAGGCTGAGGCAGGAAGATTGCAAGTTTGAGGCCAGCCCAGACTACATAATGAGATCCTGTCTCAGAATAAAATTGAAAAACGGGCTGGACGTGTGCCTCAGGGGTACAGCAGGTAGAGGGTTTGCCTAGCATGCAAGAAGCCTTGGGTTCAACCCTCAGGACTGTTTTATATATATATGTAACAAAATGAAAACTTTCAGTAAGCTGGAAGGTCCTGTAGAAAGGAAAAGATGGGGCTCCCAAGCACATGACATTCTCTCCTGCTGGGCTGGCTTTAGGGCCTGGTCTCTAACCAGACTGTATTTTTTTTTTTTTTTTGGTCTAATTACAATTTGGCACCAACAGACACATTAGAGCCATGGTTTCCCAGACACGACTGACTCACAGAAATGGCCAAGGCACTGCCAGATCTGAGCAGGCACAGGCTGATGACCACTGCCCATGGCGCGGTCGACCTGTACGAAACCCCTGGTTCAGATGTCCTCCTGCACTCAGATAGTGTGTAACACTGTGGGTGACAAACTGTGGGCAGTACACCCTCCTCCGTCACGTTAGGCGCAGCTTATAGGAGCTCCAGGACTTTCTTTCCAGGCACATGAGATCCTTCAGAAAACCTCACATCCCTGGGTTGCAGTGTTTGCTAGACACATGTTCCAAATTCAGAAAGAGCCCATACTTTCAGCTTCAGTGCAACCCCAGGGGCTTTTTCACCAGTAACCTTTCACCCTTGACTCTTTATACCTGGATGAATCAGCTCCCACTGCCCTCAGCAGACACCTCATTCACCCTGACATCCCTCCCAAACATTGCTCCCATTAAGTTCGGCTTCCTGTCCCCTGCCTTTCCCTCTCAGGCAGCCAATTTCCCCACCAATCTCAGGAGCTACCTTCCAGTCCTTCCACAGTGTTTATGGTCTCTCCTTCTGTGTGTCAGGCAGTGTTTTAGGTGCCTGGGATGCACAGGTGGTCAAGACACAAGTTCCTGCCCTCGAGGGCTTACAGTCTAGAGAAGGGTAAACAGACTGTGAGCAGTAAGTGAGAAAACAGATCATAAGGTATGTTAGGAGGTGGCGAGTGTTCTGGGAAAAAGAACAGCGACAGGTCAGAGAAGGCAAGTACTGCTTTGAATGAGACCGAGTTTCGTCAGGAGGTGACATTTGAACGAAGCGAAGATGTAAAGGAAGTAGGGGTCATCCAGAAGGTATGTGGGAGGGGAGCTCATGGGCAGAGGGGTGGCCAGTGCAGCCAGTATAGACTGACCAAGGTGGGCAGAGAATGCGTGGTTCTGAGAGGAGGCGGGCCCCAGGCTTGGGATTTTACTCCATGCAGAAGGGAATACACTGCTGGGCTGGAGCAGAGGTATCGCATGAGGTGGCTCATGTTCTAAAAGGCCGCTGTGGCCATCTGTCGGTGTCAAGGGTGGCAATCAGAAGACCATCTAGGAGACCATCTAGCAAAGTAGCCATCCACGTGGGATATGACAGGCCTGCAGGACAATGTGGTGGTAATAGGATCATTGTGGAAAATGGCCAGGCCCTGATTCTGTTTTGAAAGTAGAGCAGTGTTTCCTGGCACTCTGGGTGCGGGTGTGGGAGAAGGACAGATGCTCAGCATGACTGCGGAAGGAGGGAGTTGGTGGGAGTGGGGGGAGATGAGGCAGAGCAGTTTGGATGTGTGCAGCAGGAGCTC